CCCCAAAACCCCAAAACCCCAAAACCCCAAAACCCCTTTTTTGGATTATCCAAATGAATTTTAAATAATTATTTCAAATGGAAAAAGCTGGTGCTAGTCCTCACAAAAGGTAAGTTTTGCCACTCTCTGCTACTTTCCTGCCCCTCATGCCTTCACTACCATCTCTTCGGCTTATCACACCAGAGGCGTTTAAAGCCTGACAGACCAAGCTCAATAGTCGAGCCTCAGCTTAATTTTGACCTAAAAGTTTTAAAATTTGTAGCTGAATGTCAAGAAATTTAGGAATTTTTAAGCTATTGGCTGTACAGAGTCTAGGCGAGGCTCTATAGGAAGAATGGGAATTTTAGGATGTCTGGAAGAAGCATGCAGGGTAGTTGGGGAGCTAGGGATAAAGAATTAGTGGGCCTAGATGGGTGGACTGAGAATTGGAGTTTTTAGGAAATTCTTGAGAAAATTGATGATTTTAGACTTAGAGTGTCAGTGTATTTTTTAGTAGGATAGAAGATATATTTGGAGCAAAGGAGTGATTTGGATAAGATTATGCTAATTTGTTCATATATATGCATCTATAATTTAGGACTACTTGGAATTTGTTGTTGGGCTTATGTGTCTTGAGATAGAGCTTGAGTTTAAGAAAGAATAATAGGAATTCTTAAAACAAGAAGGAGAAATTAGAATAAAGTATAGCAATTTTTTAATTAAGATATTATCTACCATTAGCCAGAAACTATTAAAAATTTATATCAATTTTCAAAAGATTCCACTTAATCTCCTGTCTTACAATCCCAAAGCAACCCCAATCATCAAGGATCAAGTGCAATCTTTCAATTAACTCTCCTATCTACAATATTTTCTAACTTCTCTCTTAAGCTCACCACAGCCTGCAAAGGTCAAAATTGACCTCCTCAAGAGGTCAGAATCTGAGCCAACCTCAAGCCCACCAAAGCCAACAGATCCTTCTTCAAAATCCCATGAAGAAGAAATACTAACTCTAAAGAAATAACTACGAGCAGACGATAAAGAAACTAGAGACTAAACTCACTCGTTCTAAAGAGATTTTCAATGAGAAAATGTACATAAAAGATAGAAAAATCAGTGAATTAGAGAACTCAGATTCCCTTTCTGCCACTGGGAGTCTCAAGGATGCAGATATTGCAGCTATTTCTGATAAGATCCGGTCTGAGTACATCCATGCAATAGAGACTTTAGAGACCAACCTCAGCAACCTTCGTGTGAAATACCAATCTGAAGTTGATGGAAGGAAAGAAGACTTTCTTAAGCATAAAGAAGAAACTCGAGACTTGAAAAGAAAGATACAGGTGCTCAAGGAATCAACAGGTAAATATATTAGCGAAATAATACTGTAGATCCTGACAAAGTGAAGGATACAGAGTTAAAGGACCAACTCTTAGCCGTTAAAGCACAAAAACTTCAGCTTGAAGAAGAGAAAGAGCTGCTGAATTCCATAGTGGCTAGTACAAAAGCAGCATGGGCTCAAAGTGAGCTGGAAAAAGAGGAAATTCAAATGAAATATTCTAAGAAGGAAGAAGAGGTGAACCTCTATAGAGACAAAATAGCTGAACTTGAGTTACAAGTCATGAGAGGCAAACAAGATCTTGAAGATCTAATGGAAACAATGGAGGGATAACATCTTTCCTTAATAAAAACCCACCATCCAATTTAATTTTTGGTGAAAGGGGTTTTGGGGTTTTGGGGTTTTGGGGTTTTGGGG